AAGATATACACTATGACAACCACATCTACCATATATCACTCACACCCGCTCTCTTACAAAATAACAACACTTTTATTTGAAGTATGTTATATTTTATTTAATAATATACTTAACAACATACATACATTGTTTGCTGAAAAAAAAATACACTCAGTAAATGTTATTTTCAGACACGGATACTCTTTTTAGTAACCGTATTTCAGCAGTGTGAATCACTCAAATTATCGAGAATAACATTTTTGAGAAATTCTCAAACATAAGTTATTTGATCACTCTACAGATAAAAATGTCGTGGAAATGACTGAATTTACCTTCTCATGAACGTACCACACCACAAGCCACACAGCTTTGTTTAGAACGTTTTCGGTTAGCATCGGCGTGAAACGCGTAGAAATGCTCACAACGTAGAACTCGCTGCAGCGAACCCGGCTGCGATGTTTCAGTGGCAGCTTTTCCGTACATTTTTGCTTCATATAAAAAATATCCTAAACATCAAAACAGAGCATCTTACTTAATATCCATTATGGCACGTTCACCGTCTATTTTGGATGGCTGAAGTTCCTTCAATACCTTGAAAGCAACCCCCAAAACAACGGCGGCCTCAAGCTGGGCAGCACCAGTGTAGCGAACGACAATTTGTTATGCACAGTATCGTTGCACAGTAGTTTCAGTGACGTCATTCATGCGATATACCCATGTAATATCCATTTTTATTCAATGTCATGTGACCCTGTCTCAACCAATCACAGCATGCATAACAACAGTGAGATGTGATAAATATAGTTATAGGCACTCTGACATTTTTATCTGGAGAGTGATCAAATAACTTGCTTTTGAGAATTTTGCAGTTCATTTCAAAAATGTAATTCTCGATAAATTGAGTGATTCACACCGCTGAAACACTGTTACTAAAAGAGTATCCGTGGCCGAAAATAACATTTACTGTTTGTATTTTGCAGTTTTTTGAGTAATGTGAAACTTGTTATAATAGATAAAATAAAATATTGCATACTTCAAATATAAGTGTCGTTATTTTGCGGGCGAGTGGGTGTGAGTGATGTAAGTTCGATGTCATTGTGCGTGGTTGATGTCTG